GAAAAATTTCCATTCAATTTCCATTAAAAAAATGTCATTTAATTACCACTGATAATAATTAATGGTAATAAATGGAGAATTGCCAATGGGATGAATGGAATTTCCACTAGAATTCTCGAACTCAATGGGACTTCCATTGCTGAACGCAATGGGATTTCCCTTGCGTTCCATTGGAACTTCCATTCCTGAACCTAATGGAAATCCTAGTGTCAATTCTTTATTTTTTTACCTTTAATTATTGTTAGTGGTAATTAATTGACATTCTTTTTAATCAAGATGAAATATGAGGTTTTCCGACAAAAAAAATTTGAATTACATGACAATTACTATTCGAAATAATGTCTTGTTTATTATTTTTACAACTTGCTTTGACAATCATATTAACTTCAGCACGTTTTTCTCCATTTTTTTTAATAAGTTTTAATCATCTTAAACCAGATGTTCTCCATTTTTAGGTACCCAATTGTTTTTCCATTTATATTGAATGGTTTTAAATAGAATTTATAAATTTTGCATTGGTTCCCATTAAAAGTCAATGGAAAATTTTCCTACGGGATATTTTTGTGAACACCAGCAGTATCTAAACGATAGTGTATTAAACGGTGCAACAGTATCACTTTTTACTGTTCTATATACGTTATTGTATTAATTTGTTGTACTTGGCACATACGTCTTTTTTACTACGTTTATAAAATTAATTACACCTTATACTACTTCGTATCATTTTGTCGAATACAGTACACTAAGTAGTTTACTGGTAAATCTTACCTAATATTCTTTCATAGAGGAACTTGAATAGCAGATAACTTGGCAGATGTATAAACGGCAAGTAAGACCTCAAATCGGTTTTCAATGCATAGCAATGTTTTAAGAATTTTGAGCACACGATCATAGACGACTCAACGTCTCCAGGATGAATAACGTCCTCATGAACCATCGATATCATCTCTCGTGTTTCTATGTATTTGTTCAATTCTATCATTGCTTCTTCGTCTACTCTAGGATATAAAGTGAATTCTCCTGCAGCGACAATTCGTAGATTATCCACCGGCGCTTCATGATGCGTCCGAACGCCCTCGATTATTTTAAGAACTTCTTCACCTTGTACTAATTGACTGTATTGAAAAAGGAATCGTATCAGAACAAGAAAGAGATGCGTCCGATAGGAGAAGACATGAGAAAAAGATATTAAATAAAAAATTTGAAGACATTTAATACCGGTTGGTGTTTAGATATTATATTTTTAAAAAAGGGAGAGAGTGGAAAGTCCAAATAAACATATAAAAGTTATTTTGAGAAAGTCATTTCAAGATTGGGCCCAGGGGTGGAGGTGAAAAATCGAATACATTGAAAAAATAACTAACGTAACCTTAAGGCGACCTAAAAGTTAACCATCAATCTTCCAAGAATTTTGGTACCCAAGCGCCGGGCAAAGTGTCTTTATATGGACTCAATTTTGTCAAAGATGTTTTGTCAATGTTGGGTCAGTATTGGATAAATATTCTATATAAATAAAGGAAAAGGTACATCCCTTGTATATATTGCCAATATTGGATAAATATTACAAATCAATATAAATAAAAGTTATTGTCAAATATCTTTTATTAATATTGGATAAATATCGGATAAACATTGTATTAAAATATAGGAAAGAGGTATATGTCCTATATATTACCAATATTGGCTATATATTGCCAATATTGGGCCCATATACAATATTGTACCAATATAGAATAAATATTGGGCCAATGTCGTGTGCTACTGGGGTAGTCTAACCCCCAGGCTAATCCTAGTATAATGACTATGTAGGGTGTCCGAAGCAAACGGGCCTCTTCAATAACTGCTTTACGGTTAAAGATATAAAAAAAGTTTCTTATAAAATGGAACCATATAGGTATCTGCATATCCTAAAATTACTTTCGCTTTTACAGAGCGCCCCTTTTTTCCTGGAGGCAACCTAACTTTATTTTTTCAAATGGAATTCCCCATTTATTATTGCATATATGATTTCCTCGTTAAATGTAAATACCACTTTGTTAACCACATACTATGTCTAAAATGCATCAATTTCCATAAAATTCGCACTAAATTAATAAAAAGACTGTCACAGTGCTCTGCGCCATTTCGAATATCCCCGAAACGAAAGTACACAGAGGTGTGCTATTCTCACATCAAGCTTGTGGAAGAAATGGCTTACTATTTCTAACTCATCATCATAAGGTCGTCAGTCCTAAGACTGGTTGGACACGTACTTCCACTCTTTTCTATCCTGAGCTAATCTTCGCATTTCCCTAAAACTAGAACATCCCATATCCTTAACTAGCGGCGTACAGTAATCTAATCTAGGTCTACTTCTACCCCTCCTAACTTCCGTTTCTGCCTCTAATATGTCTCTTACTAGACCTTCGTGCCTGAGAATGTGTCCTACTAACCTATCTCGCCTATTTGTTATTGACTTCCATAGGGTCCTCTGTTCTCCTACTGTTTCTAATAACTCTTCATTTCTAACCTTCTTTATCCACGGTATCCTCTTCATTCGTATGTAACACCCCACTTCGAACGCTTCTGATCTTTTCTCTTCCACTGCGCCCACTGTCCACGTTTCGCACCCGTACAGCGTCGTGCTCATACACCTTTAACAACCTTTTTCGAATCTCTTAATTAACCGTTTGCGATTTCTTTTTACTAAAGGCGATTCGACCCTGCGCTATCCTCTGCTTTATACTCTCCTTCCGTCTTGACTTATCTGACTTCCTAGGTGCCTGAAATCGGCCACTTCTTCTAATTTTTCGTCTCCTATCTTTATCTATCGTTCTTTCCATACTTTTTCATTTAACATTGTCAAAAGGTTTTTCTGAATCTACTATATGTTGTTAATTTCTTAGCTGCCTACTTATGGCTTTAAGTCAAGATAGAATGGTAGATATGATTTTTGTCCATGATAGATGCGGGCGAAATCCTCTCCTGGCATCTTGAGTGTGTGATCGGTGACATTTAAACAGACGTAAAGTTTCCGCAGGGTGCTACAGTGGTTTGTTACTAGAGGAATAGTGAAATATGCACCTAGAAAGTACCCTAAGACTGTCTGTACGGTAGGAAATGAATATCTGTATTTGATTTTTTACCGTAACAACGTATAAACCAAAACCTTACTTAGCATCTTATCAAGCAAACGGAATTGGTGTCGGTAGAACATTAGTGGATAAAAGCGAATCGCCGATCGTGATATCCTGACATAAATTGACATTATAAAAGAAGTTTAATTTTTTCAAAAAGTGTTAGTCGTAGGCAGTAACATCCCTATATTGGACAAAAGGAAATAAAATTTTGCAAACGATGAGCTGACAAAAAATATGGCATTCCATTTAAAATGAAGTAATTATAGGCCGGTTCGAAATAATTTATTTTGGAAGTGGTAGATTTCAATGAATTTGAAAAGAACATGTTTTGCGTTAATAGTGGAACTAGTTAGCCATTTCTTCCACAAGCTTGTTGTGAAAATAGTACACCTCTGTGTATTTTCGTTTCGTAGATAATCGAAATTGCTCAGATCATTGCAACAGTCATTTTATTTATTTAGTGCAAATTTCATGGAAATTGACGCATTTTAGACCTAATATGTGGTTAACAAATTGGTATTTAAATTTAATGAGGAATTCAAAAATGTAATAATAAACAGAGCATTCCATTTAAAAAAATGAAGTTAAGTTGTCTCCAGGAAAAATGGGATACTCTGTATAATCAAAACTAAGTTTAGGATATGCAGATTCTTATATGGTACCACTTTTGTAAGAAATGTTTTTTGATATCTTCAACTGTAAAGTCGTTATTGAAGAAACTCGCTTGCTTGGGACACCCTGTATATCAGGATTTTTGCCTGGATTCGTAATTTTATAATTTCACCGAATTTCAATTTCGCAAAAAGACACAATAGTTACACTTTGAAAAGGTTTTTGTTATGTTAAATGAGGTTGGGCTCTTTTCCAATGTCCGATTTTTTACCTGTGCCCTTACATTTCCTTCACCTCTTCACTCTGAGCTCAAACACTTTTCTAATGATGGAATCATCCCTACCCTTACAGTTCTTCATCGTCTCTCTATGTAATTACCCTTATATAAATAGTGTTTTTTTAGAAGTAATGTAAAATAACGTAACACTAAAATAGCTCCTTTTTAAAAAAATTATACAACGCGATCACAAAACTTGTAATAGCAATATAGTATATACCCAAACTTATACTATGCATACTTTATATGTATAGAAAAAAATTTACCCAAAGGCCACATATTTGCAGTCCATCCATGGGGTCGCTTCTAAACTGATTATAAACTGGGTAGAATTATTTTTATGCCAACCGCTGTTTGCCATTGATAAGACCCCTCTCTTATCATGGGGAACGATAAAATTTTCACTTGGAATTTTTCGTTTAGGAATGGAGTACCCTCCTCCTTGAATCCAACTACCTTTTACTACCCTTAAATGCAATATCAATGTAACTAAGAAATTAAGTAGATTGAAAGATTGTAAAAAGTAAATAACCACAGACAGTACAGTAAAAGAATGCCATCTGTGAAAATTTGTCAGGAATTGTTTTTTTATTTGATAAATATTACAAATCAATATAAATAAAAGTTATTGCCAAATATCTTTTATTAATATTGGATAAATATCGGATAAACATTGTATTAAAATATAGGAAAGAGGTATATGTCCTATATATTACCAATATTGGCTATATATTGCCAATATTGGGCCCATATACAATATTGTACCAATATAGAATAAATATTGGGCCAATGTCGTGTGCTACTGGGGTAGTCTAACCCCCAGGCTAATCCTAGTATAATGACTATGTAGGGTGTCCGAAGCAAACGGGCCTCTTCAATAACTGCTTTACGGTTAAAGATATAAAAAAAGTTTCTTATAAAATGGAACCATATAGGTATCTGCATATCCTAAAATTACTTTCGCTTTTACAGAGCGCCCCTTTTTTCCTGGAGGCAACCTAACTTTATTTTTTCAAATGGAATTCCCCATTTATTATTGCATATATGATTTCCTCGTTAAATGTAAATACCACTTTGTTAACCACATACTATGTCTAAAATGCATCAATTTCCATAAAATTCGCACTAAATTAATAAAAAGACTGTCACAGTGCTCTGCGCCATTTCGAATATCCCCGAAACGAAAGTACACAGAGGTGTGCTATTCTCACATCAAGCTTGTGGAAGAAATGGCTTACTATTTCTAACTCATCATCATAAGGTCGTCAGTCCTAAGACTGGTTGGATACGTACTTCCACTCTTTTCTATCCTGAGCTAATCTTCGCATTTCCCTAAAACTAGAACATCCCATATCCTTAACTAGCGGCGTACAGTAATCTAATCTAGGTCTACTTCTACCCCTCCTAACTTCCGTTTCTGCCTCTAATATGTCTTTGACTAGACTTTTATGCCTGAGGTGTCCTACTAACCTATATCGCCTATTTGTTATTGACTTCCATAGGGTCCTCTGTTCTCCTACTGTTTCTAATAACTCTTCATTTCTAACCTTCTTTATCCACGGTATCCTCTTCATTCGTATGTAACACCCCACTTCGAACGCTTCTGATCTTTTCTCTTCCACTGCGCCCACTGTCCACGTTTCGCACCCGTACAGCGTCGTGCTCATACACCTTTAACAACCTTTTTCGAATCTCTTAATTAACCGTTTGCGATTTCTTTTTACTAAAGGCGATTCGACCCTGCGCTATCCTCTGCTTTATACTCTCCTTCCGTCTTGACTTATCTGACTTCCTAGGTGCCTGAAATCGGCCACTTCTTCTAATTTTTCGTCTCCTATCTTTATCTATCGTTCTTTCCATACTTTTTCATTTAACNGAAGCTGAAAGGGGTTTGCAAAGATTGCATGTTTGTTTTTGGTCCGATTTATTTGAAACTGGTTAGAAAATTCAATCTCAATTGGGGAGGATGAGTGGTGAAGAGCAGTTGCAATGTTTAAATGGAACATGTATTATTCGTGGTCTTAATTTCATTTAATTTCTGAAAGACCTATCTCGACATTTTAAAAAATTCAACCTCCAAAGGGTGGAGGGGTAAGAAGGTGTTGCAATTTTTGTTTGAGACATACTTTATTTGTTGTTGATTTTACTTGAAACGTCGTATATATGCTGTCTGATATTATTAATCAAATGAAAAGAGGTTGCAACGTTTCCATGGGGTATATTTTATTTGTACTCGGATTTACTCGAAGGTTGCTCATTGTTGAAATTAAGCAAATACGTGTTTTGGCAATTTTTAAAAATAAACCCATAAAGATGAAATGTTGTTGCTACGTTTGTATTTGAAATCTAAGATGGCGACATTACATAAAATTAATACGTTGTTAGGGTAAATTTGGAGTTAAAAGGTTTTATGGAGAAACAATATTAATTTCTGCGAGCGAAGCCGCCGGGAAAAGCTAGTTAAAAATAAAATGAAAAATGCTTTTTCTTAGAATTTGCAAAATACATGATTTTTGACGATTTTAAAAAATGTTTAAGCTTTATCATTTCTAATTGGATTTCATTTTTTTATGATTAGCTGTTGCCAGCTACTTCGTCCGTGTGGAATTAGATTATATCTTTAAGGGGTATGTTGAAAACCCACATAATTGTGAACGACACTGTGGTATAAGGAAGGTTTGTACAAAATTTCAAAATTTCTGATTTAGCGGTTTGGGTTGTGCCTTCATCGATACATCAAACTTTGAACCCCCTTTTACCCCCTTCATAGTGCTCGCCTGTCGCCTATGGTGTAAACTATAAGGAACATTTGTGCAAAATTTCAAGTCTTTAGATCTAGGGATCAGTCAGTTTATCCTTCTATATATAGAATAATAACCAAATTCCCTTGATCTTGATAGAAACTCATAGTTCACTTTATGAAATAAATGTGAAAGTTGCATTCCACAAATTATAATTAAAATACTTGATCGTTTCGTCTTACTAACAATAAGCTTCTTCAGAAGTATAACAATGGACTTACAATTGCACAAACTTATTTAAGACCATCCCAAACATATTATTTACTTTGCACAACTTTTTAACCAAAAAGCTATTCAAATCATTATTGCAATAAGTTTACGTCAACATTCGTTCAGTAGGTTGTTAATTGTACAATTTTCTTTAACAACTTACCTATGTATTGGTGCTCCTAGAAAACCTCCCTTTTTCCTTCTACACAATTTTATAAAGTTGTTTGTAGTACGTGGAACTATATTTGAATATAACTTAAAATAAACTACAGGATTAAATGAATAATATTTTTAAATGGCAAGGATACACTTACCAAGAAGAGTAAAGGTCCAATCACCCTATTATTGGCGGCTATGGTCATGTAGACATACACACCCTAAACCGAATAAATAATACATATTAATATGAGTTAGGTACCTACGTATTTCATATTCGTAAGTTACCGGAAAGAAATGCTTTATGTGATAGTTAAGTGATGAACTTTGATAATTTTTTTTCAGTATACACAAGGTTCTCGACAAAACTATTTCGGCCGATGAAACCATTATTAAGTGTATAATCGAATTATTAAATTTGAAATGTTTGAAACATCAACGTATACCCACTACGAAATCTCCGGTGGAAGGATGTAAAAGGGAAGTCAAAGGATTACAATTTGTATAAGGTGAGTGAAGTATTACAGGTGATAAATTCCAATTGGCTATTAACTAATCGTAAATTGAATCTCTAGTAAAGAAAGTCTGCGTTTGAAACGTTGTCATGTATTTAAACTGTGATTTTATCTATGCTTAAGTGACAACTAACTGTCTGATGAACAATGTTCTGCTAAACCTGTTCGAAATACCTATTGCTAATAGGTGACTTTGAATTGCCTAATATGAGTCACAAGAAATACAGAATAATTGATATATGATTTGAATGGTTAACCTTATCTCATTCTTCATGATTGGGATTATTGGAACCGCGTATTGAAGCAATATAACATCTAGAGTGATTCCTGAAAGATATTTGGACGAAATAGAGGAAATACCTCATACTAACATCTCGACAATAATTACTTACAGCAATCATTTAAAATCATAAGGTACTTCCTAATATTTTTTTTGTTTCTCAGTTAATATAGTAACTGAGTTCAGTCATCTAACCACTTCACTCACCACTTAGAACATGTCCAGTCACGAAACATGTTACGTGTAGGTTCTGATGACCACATATAACGAATATGGGTTTGGAAATTCTGTTTCAGAGCCTTAATCATTCTATAAAATGGAATCGTTATAAATAATTTGTTCTGCGATGACATTTGAAGATTATTTCAAATAAAATTTTGTGCTCTTTTAGAATTTGGAGATGTGAGGTAAAACATGAAAGTTCCTATTGTCAACTTCCGGATAGTTTTACACATAATCTTTAAGGTCAAATCTAAGCTTATCATTACATAGCCTCTAGAAGTTTTGTGGGATTAGTTTTTCCGCAGATGCACAAATCGAGAGATGAAAGAATGGGAATGGGTTGTTTCTTTTCGAATAAACCAGCATGTCCCGGAGAAGTAATAAGACCCTGCTTTTCATTAAAAACTGTGGACTATGGGATAATACAGGGACAGAGTATATCATCATCATCATAAGGTCATCAGTCCTAAGACTGGTTGGACACGTACTTCCACTCTTTCCTATCCTGAGCTAAACTTCGCATATAGAGTATATAGAGAGCATATATAGAGAAGCCATTCATGGGAGGGAGAATGGATTAAGGATGAAAAAAAAACTTTTGGGTGTTTCATTCCCACCACCCAGTAATGCTGGTGGGCCGGCAGTCCCTCCGGACTATGCCGGAAGGTAGGGCGGAAGGCCCTCTTCAGCCTGCTTTCAGGAATCGTGGGAATGGGTGGGTGGTGGTTCGGGTGAGAAAGATGAGACGGACGAAGGGAAGACAGAAGAGAATGAAAGATTATCTGTGGAATATTACTGCCTCAGCATTTGCCTAAGTGATCCAAGGAAACCACAGAAAAACTTGGACCAAGGCAGACGGACCCGGAATCGAACCGGCGTCCTCCCGAATGCTAAGCAATGGTCT